TGATCAAGGTCAATTACTTAAACCTCTCTCAGCCTCTGTGTCCTCCTTTGGAATATGGGAGTAATTCAGTACTTACTCTTCAAAGTGGTTATGAGGATTAAATGAGATAGTACATGTGCTCGGCACATGGTAAGTGCTCAGTAAATATCATGTACTTGTATTAAAAATAAATGTTCAACCAGAGCTCAGATAAACAGAAATTAAACCCTTTCACCACCGTTTCAGAAATACCTTATCTGTTGGCCCAAGTGTCCATATTCATTTCTACCCAAGTCTGATGTGGAATTTGGAATTACTCAACTATAGCTATTTTTAGAGTTGCTGTAGGGAGACATACCCTGCTCTCTGAGCCTAAACCATTCATTGATTTAAGAAATGTCAACATGTCCTTACATGTCAGGCCTATGTAGTGGGTAGGGCCAGCCAATGCAGCCTAACCTGGACCTATCCCAGGGGCATGTTCATCCCAGTGGGGGACGCTTGGGTCCCTCTGTGTTAAACAGTGCATCTCAGTGTGCTTAATCAGGTCTATAGTAAGTTCCTGTGTGGTAAGCTCTGGCACAATCAAAACTTCTCCTCCAAGTTGCTGGTGTTTGTGTCCACAGAGCGTATGTGTCATGCTGAGTGCTGAAGAACAGCTTATGAAAGTCGGGGACATTGTCAGGGCTTAAGTACAGGCCGTGCAGGATTTGGGGCCAACTTTCAGTTTGCCCATAGTAGACTGAATGCAGCAGGGGTGTCATAGATGCTTTGGAATAGATTGTGTAAAAGGAAGCTGGGAAACCAAATGTGCTCATTGAAGAATATTTAAATCCACAACTTATTCACACCCCATGGGTTAGGGTTCAGGTTTGGGTTCAGCATCTAACAGCCAAGACTGTCCCTGTTGTCCATGAAGCTTCAGCAGGGGTCACCAAATTCGGACCATGCTGGAATGTTCTAGTGCATTAATGGCCCTTCTTCCTCATCCTGACCAACAGATCATTGCCCCTCCCGAGCGCAAATACTCTGTCTGGATTGGCGGCTCCATCCTGGCCTCTCTGTCCACCTTCCAGCAGATGTGGATCAGCAAACAGGAGTACGACGAGGCCGGGCCCTCCATCGTCCACCGCAAATGCTTCTAGAACACTTCCCTGCTCTCTGTCTGTAGCACACACTGTGAATGTTTTGTGGAATAATGCCTTCAATTCTTTTCCAAATCATTCCTAGCCAAAGCTCTGACTTGTTACCTATGTGTTTTTTAATAAATCTGAAATATGTTACCTGTAACCTGTCGCCTTGGCCTCTGATCAGCACCGGGCCGATCACGTTATTTCTGTTAGGCTCACCTCACCCATTACAGAGTGGCTCCCTCTAGTGGTACGGCCGAGGACATGACAACCAGGATGTGTAAGCTTCCCAGGAAAGGGTGGAACCACATTAACACGGGAAGTGCCAACCAATGCCGTAAGTGGGAAGAATTTGAAAACACACAGGAGATAAACATAAACATGGGTTAAAGTGTATCAACAAGATAATCCACACTGACTCACAACTTGCTGAGTCATTATATAACGTTGCTCTCTATAACTTCCTGACTGGTAGCCTGGTGGGTGAAAATAAAACAACAACTCTGCGTGTGCATGTGTGTGCTTGTACACACACATACATACATATATTATACATGCACATATATATGACTTTTTATATATAACATATTAAACTTAAATATATATTAAAAGAAAGTATGACTTAAGTTTACCAGGGGAAACATAGATTTTTAAAAAACAGAAACAGTGCTCTAAAATCTCACTACACATCTAAATCATCTGTTTCCCTTCTCCTAATCAATATCTGTCTCTGAAAATGATACTACAGTTACTTTCACACCAGAAGGGATGGGAAAAATAACAATACTTTCCAAGGACCACTGGTGTCAATCATCACCACTAAGGGATTCATACATATCTTCACTCATTTGTTCTTCAGAACTCTTTGGGGAAAATATTATTATCTTGTCCATTTTATTTTACTTTATTTTGACATTAATTTTTTATTGAAGTATAGATTTACAATGCTGTGTTAGTTTCATGTGTACAGAAAAGTGATTCAGTTATACACACATACATATTTATTTTTTCAGATTCTTTTCCCTTATAGGTTATTACAAAATACTGAGTAGAGATCCCTGTGCTATACAGTAGGTCCTTGTGGGTTATCTTTTTTTTTTTTTTTCCCGGCCGCACCACGCGGCATGCAGTATCTAGGTTCCCCGACCAGGGATGGAACCTGTGGCCCCTGCGGTGGAAGTGTGAAGTGTTAACCACTGGACCACGAGGGAAGTCCCGGTTATCCATTTGTTATGTAACAGTGTGTATATGTTAATCCCAAACATTTTATAGAGGAAGAAACAGAAGTTTTCCCTTAATATCATTATATAGGAGAGCTGCCAACTTCTCTTTTACCCAACTGGCCCAGGAGGTACAAAGATGTATATAAATACTTTCCCTGCCCTAAAGCGTCTTTGTCTCAAAGCACTTTTCTGCCCAGGCTGTTTAGCATCCTCGCAGCTCCCCGGCTGGGTGCCACTTGTCCTCCTGGGTGTAAATATCTGAGTGCGGTCAGCAGCCACTGGCTGTCCTTGGGAGTTAGGAGGTGGATCTCCATCCATGGAAGCGTCTCACTGCAGAGACCTCAGAGTCAAAGATTTAATGCCTGTTTGGTCCAGAAAATCCAAGCTTCCCCTGGTCTCCTCTTCCCTGTAGCTTCAGCCAATTAAGATTAATACTACAAATAATAAGAGCTGGCACGTGCTGAGTAACTGTCATGACCAGATCCTGCCAAGCCTTGTATATTAGGATCCCATTTTATCCTACAACAGCCCTATGGATTGGATATTCTCACGGCCTTTTTACGGACGGAGCAACCGAGGCTACGAGTGGTTAAGGAACATACCCAATGTTATACTACTGGCAGAGATGGGACTTGGGCTTGCTTCCAAATCCATACTCTTAGCCTTGAAGCCAGCATTTCTCAGAGCAGGTCACAGAGGTCAACCTCATCGGGACCTCATTTTAAATGGACAGATTTCTGGGAAACCCAAAGCCTGCCAAACTAGGAGGTCTGAAGCTGTGGCTGGGAACTTGAGCTTTAATCAGATTTCTCTGGTGATTCTTCTGCACATCAAAATTTGAGAACCGCTGTTAACGTGCTATGATTGAAAGTTTCCAGTTGCAAATTTATGCTTACCAGGCAAGGCACTCCATGCCCACTAAATTGAAATGGGTAAGAGGTTTTACTTTGGAGAGATGGAAATGTTTTGGAACAAGAAAGAGGTGATGGGGCTTCCCTGGTGGCGCAGTGGTTGAGAGTCCGCCTGCCGTTGCAGGGGACACGGGTTCGTGCCCCGGTCTGGGAAGATCCCACATGCCGCGGAGCGGCTGGGCCCGTGAGCCATGGCCGCTGAGCCTGCGCGTCCGGAGCCTGTGCTCCGCAACGGGAGAGGCCACAGCAGTGAGGCCTGCGTACCGCACAAAAAAAAAAAAAAAAAAAGATAGAGGTGATGGTTGTACAACACCGTGAATGTCCTAAATGTCACTGAATTGTTCACTTTAAAATGGTTAATTTTATGTTATGTGAATTTCACCCCAATAAATTACTTTTTAATAAAAAAATTAAGATTATGTATTGCCCTGGAAAAAATGTCAGTAAGTACAAAGCTTTATTGCTGAAGAAAACCTGCTACATCGGTTAATTCACACACCTCATTTCTGTAGGTAATGAAACCTCGCCCAAAGTCAAGAATAGAGTAAATTCCTTCTGGTTGTTTGTTTTTCTTGTTCATCAGCCTTTATATTAGGAGGACACAAAATGGAGCTTATTTTTTGAACAACCTATAAATGCTTTTTCTTGAAAAATTGAAGAGAGGAATTTTAAACATCCTCTTGGGACTCAAGAATACAGATTCACCACTCATTACATTGACACATCTGGGACACACCCAGATCGTGACTAATTTGAGTACACAATTTTAGTTTTTCACAGTCAATGCTGGTTAACTCGATGCAGATGAATAGTTAATCCTCCTTGACAGAGGTAAAACAAGACAAAACTAAACTAAACTATTTGTCTCCATTTGGTTTTAGAATGTCTTTTGGTCTAGATAATGCCCAAGACATTGACTTCAAACAAATTAAGTAAAGCCGGTCTGCGGTCTACAGTATTCTAATTCTACCCTCTCTCCCCCAGGGTCCTTCTCCATTTTCCTGTTTTCTCTCCCTCATCCTCTGCATCTCCCCAGATTAACTAAACTAATATTTTTGTCAGCTGCCCCCAAGAAAAATATATTCTTGCCTCGTGAAAAGCCAAGATGCTAGAAAAGGAAACAAGTTTCTTAAAAAAACAGAAGAGTTCTTTGCATATTGGTGTCTTCACAATAAATAACAAGCTAATGTCTTCTAAGAATAAGGAGCTGAAAGTTTACCTTTCTTCCTTTATCTCTGCCAAATACATGACATTTCTCAAGCATCCTTTTCACAGAAGACATTCGCCTGCTAGAAAATTCTGCAAGACATGCTGGAAGAGAAACTTCTGCTTTCCACATTTGGGACAACTGTAGCTGGTTTTGCAATAGAAATTTCGATATAAGTCCAAACCATTATAATAAGGCAGTTTCCAGCACGACCGAAGTGGGTGCAGCAGGGGATGAATTGGGGGGAAAAATACTGAACCAATTCTAGGATGTGGCCTTAACTGATACTGTATCTCAAATATAATGCCACTTTTTCCACAAGTAAAATTCTACTAAAAAGAAACCAAGAATAACTTCAGTAGCTGAGAAGAATCCACAGACATCTGCTTTGCTCCAAGGTCTATGGAGAAGAGAATGATTTCTGCATGACAACAAAGAAAGTCATTTCCATTCCATCTCTGAGAAAAAAAGAAAACAAATTCAGTAAATATTTTTTGAGTATTATATTAGTTTGCTAGGGTGGCCATAACAAAATACCACAGACTGGTTGGCTTAAACAACAGAAATTTATTTTCTCACAGTTCTGGAGGCTGGAAGTAAGAGATCAAGGTGTTGGCAGATTTGGTTTCCTCTAAGGCCTCTCTCCCCGTAGACGGCCATCTTCTCCCTGTGTCATCACAGAGTCTTCCCTCTGTGTCTGTGTCCTGATCTCTTCTTCTTGTAAGGACACCAGTCACATTGGATTAGGGCCCCCTCTAGTGGCCAAATTTTAATTCAATTACTTCTCTAAAGGTTCTTTCTCCAAATACATTCACATTCTGAGGTACTGGGGGCTGAGACTTCAACACGTGAATTCTGCGGGGGGGACACAACTCAGCCCATAACAAGTACATACCAGGTGTCAGGCACTGAGTACAAACAGACCAGCATTCAAAACCAAAGGAAATTCTCAATACTCTGTAATGACCTATATGGGAAAAGAATCTAAAAAAGAGTGGGGCCATATATATATATATATATATATATATATATAACTGATACACTTTGCTGTACAGCAGAAACTAACACCACATCGTAATCAGCTATAGTCCAATAAAAATTTTTAAAAAATACAAAGGAAGCTCAGGTGTAATTGGTTCATTTTCTACAGAAGCACAAATCTGAAAAGAAATGAACTAGCTTTGCCTTCGAAGGTAAGGAAGTGGCAAATGGGGCTCTGGAATGGATTCATATTCAAAAGAGGGAGCTGCACTGCCTGCTGGGAATGAGATCTTCCAGAGGAAGCTCTTCCAGGGAACGTCTATGGTCACACACCCACCCACTCACGCACACACACACACACTCACACTCATACGGGCCTCCACGGTGACTCACGTGGGCTCTGCTCCCGGCCAGCCCAGCCCTCCGCGGCATGGCCACATCTCTGATGGTTCCTCTTTCAGACACAGAACATCAGGAACTCATTCTTCCACGCAGAGCGAGTCATAGGTTTGCAGCCTCCAGGAGTCCTTCAGCTCTGTGACAAGGTCCTCCTGGGAAGTCTGGTTAGTTGGGTTTGCACCTGGCAATAAGAAAACCATACGCCCTTCAAGAGTAGCTTTTCAAACTTCGTCTCAGGCCTGAGATTCTGCGTCCCCTTGCAAGGGAATAAAAATGCCAAGAATGCCCCACTCCCTTAGGGAATATGATATATCTTTTTAATGAAAAATGAGTTCCCTTCTAATTCGCTGGTCAGAAGCGATATAATTGGCTCTGAATGCTCAGAGTAGCTCTTTCTATTCTCTCCAGAAATCTAAGAAGCCAAATGTTCTTGGCTTTCAATTGAGTCCTTTCTATCTCTAGGTACCATTCAATGCATCGTTTTTTCATCAGATACCTCTCATTGGACACCCTCTTGGTCTACTACTGTATCTTTGGTTTCCACTCTCAGGATATCGTTCATTTCTCAACTCTTCCTAGTCCCAACAGTCATTGTTACTTGAATAAATTACATAATCTTTTCCTGTGATCAAGTATGTCAGAATATCATGCTGTCCTTAAATGCTAAGACGTCGAGGACAGCATCACTCGGGGGAAAGTGGGCTGTCCGTGGAGCCAGGCTCGCAGAGCTAATATGCCCTTAGCTGTGGGAGACTATAGACTCAAGTCCCCGTACATTGGGCAAGCAAAGCTCTTGCTTCTGGAGTCTGGGACCTGAACTCTCCAAGCCTACAAGTTGTCATAGGCAGAAATGAGTCACTGAGCTGCCCACAGTAGGCTCTTTATGAATGAGAACTAGAGTAGAAGCTAGGTGACATGATACCTGTATTAGGGAAGAGACAAGTTGGGGCGGAATGTTATCTCGTCCAAGCACAGAGTGCAGGGAATATTTCTCCTAGGAATACAGAAATCCTTGAACTAAAACGTTGATGCTAGTACATGCAAACAAGATCATTTAGGCAACTCAGATATAATGCCAGGAGGACAGCAAAGTCTGGGAAAGCTGAGGTTGGCACAAAAAACATTGGGAAGAGAGGTTAGATCGGATAAGATTGACTTCCATTCTCTCCTTTTATTGGGGCTACATTTTCTTCATAATGTTTTCCTACCAATTCAATTTGCCAACATACTCCATCAGTCCCCCATTCCTTCTATTAATCTATTATCTTTTGATCCAGGTAAATGCCTTTATTATCTGGGTACCAGTCACAAATTCCATTCCAAGCCTTGGTCATATTATAACTCGGTATTCATGATACCCTATTCAGTTTAAATATATTTTTCTTCCTATTCCCTGTGCCTTGGTTTATATAGATACTTTAATTATAAATGTTCTTTCCAAATGATTTTATTTATTCTTTTTGGTTGAGAATTATCAGTATTTCCTATACCTCATTTTTTCTCCCTGTCATCCCTATTGACTTTCACAGAAATAGGCTTTACATTTCCATCTGAGCCTTTTTTTATTCCTCTCTCAAGTGTCTCTGCTTTTAGCCCTCTAAATCAAGTTAATGAATCATCGGCTATCTCAGGTCCTCTGACACCCGATCCCTGAGTAGAAGCTCAGGGCTCTGGTCTCTACACTAAGATTGACTACAGACTCTGAGTCAGGATTCGCTGACACTGAAAACACACGATGGGCTCAGCTGTCTGCAGCCGTGTTTCTTCTCACATCCTTCTTTGACCACCGCAGGGAAAAGTCTCAGAAACATATGGCCTGTCTTGGAAATCCCCTGGTACTCAGAATTTCTTATGTGGAACTACAGTTTACAGGAATAAAAATAATACAGCAAAACATCTAAAGCTCTGAAAACACATGCAGAGACCTCCAAAAATACAACAGTATAACTTTTAAAAATTGTGAATCACTACGTTGTACACTTAGAACTTATATAGTATTGTACACCCACTCTACGTCAAAAAAAAAGTTAAAAAATTCCAGACATATTGTTGTTTGCGGCACAATTTATTATCTGGTCATAGTATTTGGGCACATTTATAGGTATTGATTTAACTCCATTGTAACCTCTCTTGAGACAAAGCAACCCAAAAAGAAAGCTTCAAAATGTGCAAAAGTAATAAATATCAAACTTTCTGATCTAAAATGTATAAATATAAAATGTCAGTCATTTCTGGAAACATCTTAAGAAAATCCAGCAACCACAGGTCCATGGGTAAGTGTCTGGCGTGGACGGTGCTAATCTTCGGAACATATCACCTCAGATCCAGTACGATTATTTTTATGTCTTTTACCAACACATGTTTGCATATCTAGGAAAGAAAAAATTGGCTTTACCTCATGATGTTTAACATGATTCTCTTTAGGGAGGGAGTATGGATTTCCTAATTTAAAATGTTTCTAATTTTAAAAATATTTCCACTCAGAACAAATACAATCGTATGTATTCATTTTCAACAAGAAGAAAATGTTTACAAAAGGTTCAAGTAATTTTCATTTTAAATAAATTCTAAGTTCAAAATACTTTCTCTGACGTCACAGCCAGGGAACAGCCAAGCAAACAGAAAAGGACTCAAATAATGTTACTTTGGGGCTATACAAAGCTAATCAAAAAAATAGGATTACAGTTTTCATTGAACTGTTATGAAAAACTAATTTGGCCATATCAAGCAGAAATAATTCAGGACACATTTAATATCATTTTCTTTAATAATCGTTTGCTTGCTGGGACCCTGGAGAAAACTGTTAATTGTTTAAGTATCACACAGATATGTAAATGGAAAGGAAACTTTATGTATAATCAACTCTGCTACAGAAATACTGTCATTCTTTTGTAAGTAAAATAGTAATGACAAGAAATCAGAAGAAAATACAAAGATTGCTTAATTTTATGAGATAAGAAAATTCCAAAGTAAGCAATAAAGTGTTTTATCCTATATTATATTGCTACTATTTCTCTCCTTAAAAAAAAAAAAAAGAGGCTTATGTGTTTTATAGCTGGAAGTCTCTACCTCTTAATCTCCTTCACCTATTTCACCTGCAAACCCCCTTCCCTCTGGCAACCACGCATTTGTTCTATTTATGACTCTGTTTTGTTTTGTTTTTTAGATTCTACATATAAGTGAAATCATATGGTATTTGTCTTTCTCTGTCTGACTTATTTCACTTAACATAATACCCTCTAGATTCATCCACGTTGTTGCAAATGGCAAGATTTCATTTTCTTATGGTTAATATTTCATTGTGTGTACGTATATATCTCACATCTTTTTAAGCCACAGGGGTGTAATATATAGCGTAAGGAATATGGTCAATAATATTTTAATAACTTAGTATGGGGACAGATGGTTACTAGACTTACCATGGTGATCATTTCATAAGGTATGAAAATGTCACTATATTGTATACCTGAAAGTAACATATTACATCAACTATATTTCAATCAAAAAAAAAAGGAGGGGGTGAAAAATAAACACGATGTGCAAAAAATAACCAACGTTGTCTACTCACACTGAATAGCCTGGGGTCCTTGGTGTGTGGATGAAAGCCCTTCTTTTTACAAGCGGAAACCTCAAGCATGCCAGCACTGGTGAGCCTGAAGATGCCGGTGCTAAGTTTCAGAGTGAAAAAAACGTACAAAAATTAAGGATCATTTGGGCTTTCCAGATGCTTTCATTTGAATGGCACAAGCATACATATTCTTCAAATGGAATGGAGAAAGAAACGACACACTAAAAATTCTACAGTGATTTTTTTAAACTAGTGTTGTGCTGACGGCCTAGAGGAAGACTGAAGAGACCAATGCTACTGCCAAGTGCCTGAACTGCTGTGTGAGACCTTGGGAGAAAAGCTGAGACCCCATAGGAGGAAATTACAGGTGATGGATATTTCTAATTTCTCTAATACATGCATATCTCATTTTATTGTACTTCACTTTATTGCACTTCGAAGATACTGCATTTTTACAAATTGAAGGTTTGTGGCAAGTCTGCATTGAGCAAGTCTACTGGAGCCATTTTCCAGTATTTGCTCACTTCACATCTCTTTGTCACATTTTGGTAATTCTCACAATATTTCAAACTTTTCCATTATTATATTTGTTATGGTAAAGTGTGATCAGTGATCTATGACTCGCTGAAGACTCAGATGATAATTCGCATTTCTGAGCAATAAAGTATTTTTAAATTAAGGTATGTACATTGTTTTTTTAGACATAATGCTACTGCACACTTAATAGTCTGCAATGTAAACATAACTTTCATATGCACTGGGGAACCAAAACATTCATGTGACTCACTTTATTGTGTCAGTTGCTTTATTGTGGTGATCTGGAACTGAACCTGCAATATTTCTGAGAAATAAATAGTATTTATAGCTGCAGCAAATATTTACTGAGTGCTGGCTGTAGTGCCAGGCACTATGCTAAGCCCTTTATGTAGACTATCATCTAGTTTCACCTTCACATCAATCTGTGATGGATAAGTATCAGGGATGAAGAGACTGAGGGTCACAGTGGTCAGGTATCAAACCGGGATCCCAGTATCAGTTTGTCTGATTCCTCTGCTCATAATCGTGCTATGATAGTCACTGTCCTCCACATTTAGGAAAGTTTTGGAGATAATTAAGCTAAGGCTGGGAATTTTCTTCTCTTTTTTTTTTTTTTTTTTTTTTGGGCCGAACGATTCAGCATGTGGGATCTCAGTTCCCGGACCAGGGATGGAACCTGTTCCCCCTGCAGTGGAAGCGCAGAGTCCTAACCACTGGACCGCTAGGGAAGTCTCCAAGGCTGGAAATTTTCTCACAGCAGAAATCATACAATAGAACTAAGATCTCAGACGGCAAACTGGAATAACATCTGCTTTATCCACTTCAAGGTCATGTAAAGAAGGAAAACCAGTAATTCTACCACGGAAAGGACCTTTAAAAGCAAAAGATGGCAGACCTACAAGTTATGGAAGCCAGCAGGCACCAGTCTCTTTTTCCCAAGGGCATGGTTTGCCTACTTATCCAAGTGCTACAACCTGGTGTGTGGACACACTTGAACCTAGCAAACCCAGACAAAGCCTTACTTGAACCCTCTCAATAGCCACACTTACTCTTTATGCTTCGGTGAACAGACAATGGCAATGGCCTCTGGCAACATGAGCTGATAAGAACAGTGAGTGTGGAGGTCAACACTGGATAAGAACGCAGTTTGGGTTGGATGTGTCTATAAAAAGAAAAGAGGACACTCTTATTGGACAATCCTATTGGACAATCAATAGCTGAGTGCTGGCCAAAGTCAGAGCCCACGCCAAGAAAAAACTCTAGTTATTTGCTTTTTCTTTTTTACCGTCATTAATCAAATGAGGATTCTGAAAATGTCTTGCTGACATAATCCTTCCCTTTATGCATCTATAGAATAACTACAACTTTGAGAAGAGGCTCTTGGGAGCGTTTATGTACTTTCTGCTTATTAGGATAACATAAAACTGAAAATTTCCCAAAGCCTTTACATAGATCTTCATTTAATCATCACAACTCATCTGGGAGATATTTAGTGTCTCAGTTTTATGTACAAGGATCCTGAGATTCCTTTAAGGAACTTGCTTGCAAGGAGCACAACTGTGACTGGAAACCCAGAGACACTTATATACAACACCGTGGACATAAAAGGAAAAGTTTCGCTGAATGTTCCACACTATGCTGGTATCCCTTCATGGATCCCCATTCCCTACAGATGAGGGAACAGAGCTCTCCAAGGTGTTGAAGATGTTTGGGACTCATCTCGCATGACGGGAGGGAAGGGGAGACTATAAATTAAAAGAGCTGTCTTCCAGGTTTGGGGCTATATACAGACCTGTGTTTAGGAGAGACAAACACATGCACCCACATGATTTGTAATTCACAGTAAACCCCAACCACCCTTGAAAAAGGGATGCAACCACTTAAATCATGTATCCAACATCCCCGTCATGCTGGGTCCTGGCTCCAACACTCCCTAGTTGTATGACACTGCAAAGATTCCATAACCTCCTCATGCCTATTTCAGCAATTGTAAAATAAGGATAATAATCATTTTCTTCATGGGATTGTTATGAAACTTAAATGAGACAATCCATGTAAAATTCTTAAAACAGTGCCTAGCACAGCGATAGGAATCAAAATCATTAGCTTTTATGATTGCTGTTGTTATTGCTGTTTTTATTGTAATGTTGTCATTTTTTAAATTTAATTTTTATTTTATATTGAAATATAGTTGATTTACAATGTTGTGTTAGTTTCAGATGTACAACAAAGTGATTTGGTTATACATATACAGATATCCATTCTTTTTCAAATTCTTTTCCTATATAGGTCATTACAGAATATTGAGGAGAGTTCCCTGTGCTATACAGTAGGTCCTTGTTGATTATTTTATATATAGTAGTATGTATATGTTAATCCCAAACTCCAAGTTTATCCCTCTCCCCCTTTCCCCTTTGGTAACCATAAGTTTGTTTTCTATGTCTGTGGGTCTATTTCTATTTTGTATATAAGTTCATTTGTATCATTTTCTTTTAGATTCCATGTATGTGATATCATATGATATTTGTCTTTCTCTGTCTGGCTTACTTCACTTAGTATGATAATGTCTAGGTCCATCCATGTTGCTGTAAATGGCATTATTTCATTCTTTTTCATGGCTGAGTAATATTCCATTGTATATATGAACCACATCTTCTTTATCTATTCCTCTGTCGATGGACATTTAGGTTGCTTCCATGTCCTGGCTATTGTAAATAGTGCTGCAATGAACATTGGGGTGCATGTATCTTTTTGAATTATGGTTTTCTCCAGATATATGCCCAGGAGTGGGACTGCTAGATCATATGGTAGTTCTATTTGTAGTTTTTTAAGGAACCTCCATACTGTTCTCCATAGCAGTTGTACCAATTTACATTCCCACCAATAGTGCAGGAGGGCTCCCTGTCTCCACACCCTCTCTAGCATTTACTGTTTGTAGACTTTCTGATGATGCCCGTTCTGACTGGTGTGAGGTGATACTGCATTGTAGCTTTGACTTGCATTTCTCTAATTTAGCAATGTTAAACATCTTTTCATGTGCTTTTGGCCATCTGTATGTCTTCATTGGAGAAATGTCTATTTAGATCTTCTGCCCATTTTTTGATTAGGTTGCTTGTTTTCTTGATATTAAGCTACATGAGCTGTTTGTATATTTTAGAGATTAATCTCTTGTCAGTTGCTTCATTTGCAAAAATTTTCTTCCATTCTGTGGGTTGTCTTTCCTTTTGTTTATGGTTTCCTTTGTTGTGCAAAAGCTTTTAATTCGGTCCCATTTGTTTATTATTTATTTATTTATTATCTTTTTTTTTTTTTTTTTTTTTCTTTAAGTGGTGGATCGAAAAAGATCTTGCTGTAATTTATGTCAGAGAGGGTTCTGTCTATGTTTTCCTCTAAGAGTTTTATAGTATCCCATCTTACATTTAGGTCTTTAATCCATATTGAGTTTATTTTTGTGTATGGTGTTACAGAGTGTTCTAATTTCATTCTTCTACTGTAGCTGTTTTACACTTTTGCCAGCACGTCTTATTGAAGAGACTGTCTAATGCTGTCATTATTAACTTGAGGGCATAGGCGCATAGAAACCGCTTCATGCCTTTACACATAACTATGATCTGTTGAAGAAATGCAAGATTTCAAAACCCCTTTCTACTTTATTTAATAAAATGAAGGTAAAATCCATTGATACCTATTTATAGAAAGATAAATGTCCGGCAGGGAAAAAATAACTATTGGTCTGCATAGACTTAGATCAACTGAAGAATAGAAATTAACTTTTAAAGCCCAAACCTTTAGTGAGGGCATGAGTGGGAGGGTCTGACTGCCTGTTACCTGATTCAGTGAAAACCTTCTATTCATACATAGAGCCTTCTATGCCTTGATGAAAAAGTAAGAAGTGTTCAAAGAAGCTCTATTGCTATGGAGGCAGCAAGCAGATTGTCAAACAGACAAATCACTTTCCCTTCAACTTATTTCCAGACTGAATGCACACTGTTAAGATATTCTGTTGTTTGTTTGTTTTTTCATCGTTTCTGTTTTGTGTCTTTGTGTTGCACCTTAAGATATTCTGAGTCCTTCATTTCTGCCAAGAGGAATCACTCCAGCTCCAATAAGGACAGCTCTCCCATGGGAGAATGGTGCTCCAATCCCATGCCCCCATTCTATGGAGATAAAAATGATGATGATGATGGTAATGACGATGATGACAATATCAGCAGCTGATGCCATTTATCACAATTGAATAACATGACAGGCACTGAACTAATCACTTTTCCAGGAATTAATTTTACAAGATGAGATGAGTGCTGTTATTATCCCCATTTTACCAGATGAGGAAACTGAGCTAAGCAGAAGAGTAAATAACATGCTTAAGGGCATAGAACTAGTTAAGCTGAGACGTCTAAATTGAAATCCAGATCCGTCTGATTCTGATTCAACCTTTCTTTCCGATGACAATTTATATCCAAAAAATGTTAGCTCTGGAATTTGTTGCTATCGTTATGCCAATAAAGACCATCACAAAAAGTCATTACAACCACTGAAGTTTAGAAATACAACATGTTACTGATTTCCTTGAACCACAACAATCTGACATGGTAAAATTAAAAAAAAGCAAAGTTTTAGGATTCTAAAATTATGCTTAATTCATTATTTAAATGACTTCATTGTTGCATACATTATATGTACATGTCATAAGGGAAAATCTTTTGTTTCTGATCTGGGAAATGTTTTATGAGATAAACTAACACTGACTTTTCAACATAAGCATAATTTAACTGTCATTCTTTCTCAGTTTATGTTACAATTGCTTTGCTACAATTTGTTTTCCTTTAAAATGCATTCTTGTTACATCAAACTAAATAATGCCTTTAAAATGACCCAGTTTCTAAGCAAACGGTAAGGCGCATACTGGTAAGGAAAACAAACAGACATACAGAAAATTTTTGCAAAGTCTTCATTATAAATAATTTCTTGTATTTGAGAGGTGATTTATAGTTTTCAAGGGGCTTTCACATCTAGTATGTTGCTTACAGCTCACACAAATCGGTGAGGGAGAGAAGGCATTCATTAGCTCTACTGGATCAATAAGGGAACCTGGAAACAGGACGCTAAGAGTCCTGATCGAAGGACTGTACCGGCACACAGTAATTTGCAGGTGGAGATAGGACTAGTCTCCTCTGCCCTCCTGAATTACAAAACACCAAAAGCTTGGTGATTGTGTGTGTGTGTGTGTGTGTGTGTGTGTGTTGAGGTGTGGGTGAGGATGTGTGTCCTGCCCCTCCTCAATACTTCTCTATAAAGCAAGTAAAATAAAAAATGGCTCCTTCTCACTCTTCAGAGGCCCTTGCAGGTCCCTAGGATGTGCCCTGGAAACCCTGACTAGCATCTCATGCCGTGAGATGACTTGTTCCTACCCCAGGCCCAGATGCATGAGACTGAATGGAAAAATGTCCCCAGATAGATGAAACCATGGATAGGAAAAGTACACTATCATCACCAAATATCATCAGCTACAATATTCTGAGCTCCTAGAAAAAATGTGCTAAGAAGTTCACTGACATTATCTCACTGTCACATGAAGTCCATTATTATGGTCCCCATTTTATGGATGATAAGCTGATGCTCAGATGGCTTAAATAACTTGCCAACGTTCCTATAGTGAATTCCTAGCAGAGCTGATATTTAAACTCATGTCTTTTGATTTGTAAGCCCTTTCCTGCTCCTATGGTGGCCTGGTGGATGTTGGAACCCAATGTTTTTGGCCCTACTCCGTGGCTGTTTATACAGCGACGCATACATCCTTGGCCTGTAGGGGAGGTGAAGTGGAGGGTAAGGTCCCTATTTGATATGTACAAACACGTTTTTAAAAGAGACCTTTTCAGAAATTTTCTTAAAATAATTTACTTTAGACCCACAGCCATGGGAAAGAGAATGTTAATAATTGTCTAATCATATTAGTTAAAAATCTGCCTAGGTCTCCATTAGACTACATAAAATCATCAAAACAAGTCAGCTGATTTCCAAATGTTTATCTCTCTTCCAACTTGGGATGGTAGGAAAGAGCATACTATAGCCCTCTCCAAATCTGGATTTGACAGATGTAGACACGGCCTAACATTGAAGAAAATGCTTTAAAACGATGACATTTATTCCACTTGAAAATTTTAAAAATAAGAAACTATTTCTTAAGCTAAACTTCCTCCAGAAGGAGAATAGCCCGCCAAAAAATAAATAAATAAACTGAAACCCCAAATGTGAAACATACATGGATCCATCCCAGAGTGAGGAGATTGTGCTGATCCTGAACACCAAATAATTCTTCTACATTCTCCACGTCACAATAGTCTGGTCCTGCAGACTGTTTTGGCACGATTAAGTGGGTAATAGTAAATTCATTATGCGTCTGAAAAGCAAATAGCAAAGAGAATAATAAGCATCTGACAGAAAAAAAAGGCCTGAGTAGGAAGTATAATGTTTTAACAAGACTAGAAAGTGCCCACCACTTACATCATCATCCTCTCACCCTGACCCATCACAATTCAAAAGCAAAGCCCCACACCTGAACACGGATCATCGCCCAAAATTTGAGAGTCAGTTGTTTGGAGCCTGAAACCCATTTTCACAATATAAAATGTACCATAAATAGGAATTAGCATCCTGGGCTGGTCCCTGGAAGTTTAGCTAGTAAATAATGGTATGTTATATTACATCTGCAGTGGAAAAAATCAGAACAAAACAGTAGCAGGTTTATTTGGCGGGGAGATGCTAAGTAAATAATCTTGTGGTTTTATTGGAGGACATTTCTAAGGTTTGTGAAGGTTGATGGTCTTGTTTTTAGTTTATTAATTGTTATTTAATTTTGCGTGAAGATTTACGACTTTCTTCTACTACGGGGAGGGGGGGCTTGGGGGGCGTGGAATTCACTGGGATTTTCCATAATTAAGGTAATGTTTTGGATTGGCAATTAGATAAAGAGAAAGGAAAGACAAATTGCCCCTCTTAGGTAAAAGATAAGAGTTGAAAGGAAGAGGGTTGTAAGGTAGTGATAGGATCCTCAGAAAAAAGAAGTTTGTGTGCTGAGGAGCTGTCCATCCTTGCCCAGCGCCATCTTGTCTCTAGTCTTAGGGCACTTCTGCAAACTGGGCCCTATTCCTTTGGCCTTGATTACAACACTTCTCTCCATCCCAGCTCCTCCTTTCATGGCTAACTTTATGTATTCTAAACGTATGTAGTATAAACATTGGCTTTCAAGGAACCCCTTCTTGACCGTCCCAGGCAGGGTTTCCCAGTTACACCTTCCCATGATACCCTGCACTTCCACTGAGAGCACCCAGCTCCATTTATAATTAATCATCTCTCTGGTTCTTTATAAGCATCACACGGCAAAGACTGAGGCTGTCGTAGGTGACTGAATGCCTGTCTGATGAAGGAATGAATGAAGAATGAATCAATGAATGAGTGAATCAAACTAAGTACAAAATGTGGTGTTGGGGAAGAAGCGTCCATAGCATACTGCCCCCTGCAGGGCAAAGAAGGTGGCTGTGGGGAGGAGACGGCAGGTCATTCTCCTTTGCTTGTCTCCTGTGTTTCTTCTGCCCTGGGGGAAACGTGATGATGCAACACTGGAATACAGTAGGAGAATGTGTGTTGAATGAAACATCCTATTCAGTTAAATAACAGTTTCCAAGTAAATGTTTAGGGATGAAAATGTGTCTGGACTTAGAAACATAAACTGATACCCCACAGAGGGTACAAAGGCACTTCCAAAGAAACATTGTTCCTCTTTCTTGAAGTAGGAAATTAAATGTATCTTCTCTCTTTTATCTCCTTCTAGTTTGATATTGTCTTTCATCACTTATTTCTGATAAAATCTTCCATACTTAAATATGACCTGTGCTATAAGATTGCAGTTTGTTGAAACTACTGCCTTAAAGAAAACAACAAAACCCTAGCTTTATTCTGCATGTATCTGAAAAAGGGTGGCGAGATTATACCTACCACAGACAAAAGCAGGTTGAGTTAATCATAGGAATATATGTGAAACTAACAATTGCAACGGAAATTTGAATCAGGAAACTAGATGGTTCTGGAAATTTGAAAGCCACCCTTTTTCTAAACAAAGATTTAACTTATGGTTTGATTAGTTAGTTCTTTACAGTAAACTTTCATAGTATCTCTAAAATTTTACAATCCATTTTCTAGAAGGATAATTCCATTAATAATGACAGTAGTTTTATGAAATTAATCTATATTAAGTTAATTTCATAATGTTTACGAAACTTAGGATGCTTTTGCTCTGCTCAGCTTATCACAAGAAAGCCAGCTCTACTGAAAGTATCCTGTGCAGGGAAGATATGAAACAAACACCATACCAGTTTCCCACAGAGTATTCCACAGGTTTCTATTCCTCTCACTGTATTAGATTCTGCCAGGAGCAGAAATCTGTGGCAAAGATCTCTTGATAAAACGACGTATCTCAGTCCTTCAACCACTAAATCTAAGAAACAGAAAAGGGAGAAAAGACAAAAAGAAGAAACCTTACATCCCATCCTTCAAAACTGTTTTTAGCAAGTGACTGCAGGTAAATATAAATTTCAAAAATGAAATAATCAGGTGCTCCACTTTCTGTATTTCTTGTAAAAGTGAACATTGACTAGAAGGAAGGTAAAATTACCCCTTGCGTATAAATTATTTATCTACAAGTGGGAAGGTGCAAGCACGTTTACATCTTTGTGCCTGTATCAACTATTTACATGTATGTGTGTGTTTTCTTTCGGCACAAGGTGCACAGGCTGCATAGAATACATCTCATATTCTATAATCTTTTTGTGTGTTTGCCATGTGTTACTTATATCTTATGAAAGTTGGTGATCATTAGGTAAGAGCACCATGTTTTTTGAGACAATTGGCAGTAGAGTAATTTATAAAATGGTTGCTTATCATAACTCTTTCAAAATAAATGGAAATATAAATTCCACTTAACAGTGTTTGCTGGGAAATTTTCCCGTTTGGTGTTGGAAAGCTGCCAGCACTGATGTAGCGGTCCAGGCAGCACTAACTTTTGGCAGAAACACATAACCCCTTTGGAGGTTAACACCCATGTGTACAGATCCTCCTGGGCCAGGGCAACGCTAAATATTTAAATTTAATGACTGAACAAGGTTCTGAACAAACAAGTTTTCCAGCATCTCCTTTCCTCTCCAGTGTGTTTACCTTTAGGATTCAGTGCTTCTTGGTCAAAATACGTGAATGGAAAAAAAAAATGCTTGGAATTTTTCTCTCTTAAGATCTCTGTACCACGATCAAATACAGTGCTGTTTATCATGGAGCCTCTGTTCTACCAGGGGGTAAATCACGTTTCCGGAATTCTGAGGTTACATATAGCAAAAGTCAGGTGATATTGTCATTCACACCACATCATGTAGGGGAACTACCACAACTAACAATAAAATGAGGGGACCCCTCCCAGATGTCACAGAAATATGGTTCCATTAGAGGAGATTCCACGTCTTGTGGGGTGCATTTCCTCACTTACTCTGAACAGCACTTAGAGTTGCAGCTGGCTTTAAGGCCCTGTTTACGGGAGGTGAGTGGCCAGCGTAATTGGTTGCATCACTTTTATTAGGCTGATCTGCAAATACATTCAGCAAGGAATTGTTCTGGTGTGTGGAAAAGCAGGACAAAGCACTCCCATCAATCTGCTCTGACTGCGCTGGAGTTTCCTGGCTTCGCATCTGACTCCGGGCTAATTCTTGCTTCTTGAGCTGATCTTCGAAAAACAAGAACTGCTCCGATTCTAGCTGCTGCTGGCGCATCTGAGCGATCCGCTTCCTTTCTGCCTCTATCAATCTCTGATGCTCCAGTTTTTTGAGAATTTCAGCTTTATATTTGTTCTAAAAAAATGTGGTTGCCAGAAGAAAAGGTTAGTTTCCAAGGCAAAAGCATCAAACTGGGATTAGACAGTTTCAATCTTCTAGGAGACGGAGAGACACAGCTAGATACTGCGATATGCCCACAGGGACACTCCTGAGACTGCCAGGAAAACATGTAACATCGTGGCAAAAGCCCCTTAATCTGATTACAGGAGCAGTTCTAAATCCACTCATATTTTACCAGAGACGGGCCAGGACAATCAAGTTCCCTCCACCCTCCTGTGCTTTTAAATATTAGTAATCAAAGTCAGGATTGTCTGCACAGCCTGACTGATCAGACCATACCTCAGAAATAGTTACATCACCCTGGACTGCACTGTCCAATATAGTAGCCACTAGCTACATGTGACTACCTAAGTTGAATTCAAATGAAATGAAATTAGAAATTCAACTCCTCAGTTCTCACTAGCCACACGTAAAGTACCACGGGCTAGTGCCTCCCATATCAGAGAGTGCCAAATAGAGCATTTCCATCATCATACAAAGTTCTGTGGGACAGTGCCACCCTAGAAGCGTTTGCATTAGACTCTATAACTCATACTGCTGGAACTTTATGGAGAAGGGGGAATCACTAACAAATGGTTCTCAGAATGTGGTCCAATCAATTCTATCAAAACAAACTACTAGGAGTTTTGTTAAAAATGAAGATTCCCAAGCTCCCCAGTCTTAACAAAAATATCCAGGCATTATTAGGTCAAAGAATAAATCTTTAACAAGCTTCCCAAATAATTCTGATGAAAACTAGACTTTGGGAGCTACTATAAGGCAGGGGTGAGGTGGGGGACAGAGCTTACAGCAGTGTAAGCTTACATCAAAACAGCTTACACTTTGATATGCACTCTGGGTCTTGTTATAGAGCAGACTGGCCTTCAGCGGGTCTGGGGTGGGGCCTGAGAATCTGCATTCCAACAGGCTCCCCGGTGATGTGCGTGTTGCCTGTAGCAAAGGCTTATCAGTGTGTCTGTTCATCTGTCCAAGGCATAAAGCCTGCCATTCCATCCCCCAAAGATTTCTACATGTCATATACTTGGGATCCTACTGTGGACTAGGAAGTAACTGGTGTCACCAAAGGCAGGCCAGGTAACAACTGCTGAGGCCGCTCCTCCCAGAGCGCTCCTGAGAGGACCAGCATGCACATTGCTGAGTAGGGAAGGGAGCTTAACTGGGCTGTTAAATTAAATCCCTTCCTGCTGTTCTGTCCAAGCCGCCAAAATCACTTTTATCTTTCATAGTTCAAATCAAATCATCAGTAACCACACTGGAGGAAATCTTCTCATTTCAACATTCCTTCTGTCACTCAGTGCAAACAGCTCACTCAAACCTGCCTTCTAGCTATACCAAAGGAAGCAGAGAAGGCCTGTGACCACACTCCGAGGTAACAAGATTGGACTGAACTGAGAGTCAGTAAAAGTGACAACTTCCAAAGCACATAAACACATAGCCAAACAAAAAAGCAAAACAACCTTTATCATTATGCTGTAAACATTAAGAGTTCAAGTGTTGAACTGGAGTATCTTATAGACTGACTGGTCAGCTGCTTCTTTCAATGCCCTTCAGTCTCAGACGTCATTTTCATTTTCACTCTCTATTTAATAAGAATCCAGGAGCCATCACCCCTTGGTGATATGATTACATTTCACTCATATGGTTAGCCATTATTCCATCTGATGTGATACTGATTACAATATTTAAGAATCAAATTCACACTTCCAAGGCATACGTAATTAGACACATCAGAAACTATATACTGTTCTCCCTACCGCTCTTACTGTCTCCTTTCATTGCTAAAACGCAGCCATCTGGCTCAAGATTACATTGGCAAGAGTTGGTCAAAAAGCTCTGCTTAAATCACTGTAAGAATCTATTTCCTAATGCTTCACTTTATTAGATGTTGACAGGAAATAAAAATACCACATCCTTGGTGCAAGTGCTTAACCAGGATATCAACATGAATTTTTTATGGGTTTTATGTCACTGTATTTTTAATTTTTAATTTGAATGCATACGACATTTGAAAAACTCATTAAAATGAAATTCAAAAAATATTTGCACAGAAAACAGTCATGCAATAAATGTATCAACTGAACTTACTTCGCTTTGCAAATATTCTTGGTATTCTATGTTATATTTCTTTAAAAGGTCCTTTTTCAATTCATCTGTCCTTGGGAATGCAATCTCCTTCAGTTTCTTTTAAAAAATATATATATACATATTGATTAGTGGGATTTTCAGTATAGTCAGCTTTCAGATCATCAGCTGAGAAAGAAAAACAGCTGGTATGTGCATTAGAAATCAAGACACAAGTAACCAAAGATGATCGCGGAAAAATCAATCTTTTCTAGGGCTCCAAAATATAACTTTTCAGTAGAGAAGAGAAAAAATTATCCCCTTTGTAAGACCTTTATCGACTTCACTGGTTAGATAAGCATTTTGTTTAGTAGGTACCTCATTTTTAGGTAGTGGGTTTGTAACCGCACATTCCATGGTAGGTAAATTTTATGGCATCATAGTTAGAAGGGACCTCAGAGAACACCGTAAGTAGGGATCCCTAGTCTTTACAGACTGTAAAAAGGAGCTAAGGCACTTTTTATAAAAATATAGATTCCCAGGCCTAACCCAAGACCTACTGAGACAACATGTTTAGAGAAGGGTTTGGGATCTGGATCTCAAACAATTTCCCAGTGATCATAATTTAGGAAAATCTGATACAGTCCAAGCACCCACCAGCCCCGCCTTTGTAGAGATGAGGAAACAAAGGCCTAGAGGGATTGAAAGGCTTGTCCAATGTCATACAACTAGCTAATGGCCTCATTAGGACTAAAACTCCTAACTCTAGCCAATCTTTTGTCATCCATCCACGCATCCATCCATCTATCCATCCATCCATTTATTCAAGCACAAACAGAAAATGTATATGCTTTTGGAGAATTCTTTCCCTACAAGTAAAAATAAGAATAACCCTAAATTAGAGTAAAAGATTCACCTTGGCAGCCTAAGACCTTGGTTTCCATACAGAATTTTCTGAGTTTACATGAACAAGAGAATTGAGGGGAAATGCTACTCAAAGGCCTGGTAATGAATGACCCTTCAGATAGTGTACAGAAATTTTAAAATGTAGATGACCATTTGACAAAAATTTGTGTTCTGCTTACAGGCACCCCCAGGCCTGACATAGCTGGTAAGAAAGCTTTTATTCTGTTATGTGGTAAAATAGTTTTTGAGAGTCATTTAAAATTTCATACTGTGATTGACTTTGTATACATTGTTTTACCTTCCATCATATAAAATCAATCCAAACTACTTAAGACAAATGGAAAACATTTAAAAATGTTATCTAAAAGGATATATTCTTAGCTAATGATATTTGGAACTATATATGCAGCAAATGTTGATGGTAAATAAATACATTTCAACAACCTTCTTTTTCCTTTGGAATATTTCAGGCCACTCACTAAACACTTTGTTGTCTCATAGGCTAGTACTATAAGAAGAAAATGACTAGAACTTTGTGGCTGCCTTAATAATCAACACTGATATTCAAATAGGTTTTGGGTTCAGAATTGTATGGAATAATCAAAACCACCCAAAATGACGTCTCAAATAAGTATGGGGAAATAGACAACCATTCTCTCAATCTCTGGGAGGAATCATAAAATAATTCCTTCTTCACGTCTTAATATGATTAAGTACATTCTTGATCTTTTTCTTTTTTTTTTTTTTTTTTCTCGTTTCAAGTAGACATCCCACAGTAATGATGATTAAAGGTCTAGGAAGAGATCGAAACATCATAGCTAATGGAATGAATCTTTTGTGCTTAAACTCTTGAGAGGATGAGACAGAGGAGGAGAGGAAGGGGATGAATCAATAATGGATACTTGTGGAACATTTGAACCCCCGGGGGAGAGTCTATCCCACAATACCTTCATAATATCCTGCTTTTCGGGTACTGCACATTGCTGGTAATCTCGATGGTTAGGAAGCTTTTCTACAAACAAACTGCAGAAAAAGAAAACACGTCCTTAGCATTAAATGACAGAAAAAGCTCAATGATGGCTTCTAATTTGAGAATGAGCCTCCTTTTCAAAAAGGACACAGTTAATAACATTATTTAACCTATATTCTTTCCATTTGCCTTTCCATCAAAGGTTGGCCCAAGTATGATTTTGGCATTACAGGGTAGTTAACTGTAAGCACTGAGGTTAAGAGAGTTAACGTTGGGATGCTCCCTGAAGAGACCACATCACTTTGGTTTTTCTCGGGTCTTTGGCACTATATCCCACTTGAGCATCATTTTACTTATGTGTAGTGCTGGCAACACTGAGGATCACGTGAAAATGTAAGAGTTTGGAAAGATGGATGTAACCTCTTCTCACCATTGAAAGACTCAAAGGGCCACTGATGAATCAGTAGTGCCATGGTGTCTATGTTAAAAACTCTTAAATGAAAATTCATAACTCAGAGAAATGTCAGCCAGAATCCTTAATGGATTAGGAGATGCTAATTAAGAGTTAATTATTTTTCATCACCTTCTGAGGAACAAGGGACAATAAAAATGAAGGGAAATCAGTACAGCAAACCAGATACATTGCTTCCAGGTAAAGTGAAGATACTACTTCCACGAGGGCAGGAAATTCTGTTTTTGTTTTTTCCTTATTGATGTATTCTTAGCCTGTAGAATGGTGCCCCTCTCATAATGAATGTTCAATAAATATTTGTTAAATGAATGAAAAGCTCTTAGAGCAAATACTGTTTTTGATCAACTAATATGTTATAACTACTGATGTTCTGTTGTTTACAAATCACATACACTCATCATCTCACCTATAGAATACAGAGGAATGGTATTATAACTCTTATCTCTCAAATAAGAAAATTAAAGCCTAAAGAAATTACATAAGGTGTGTCAGTTGCCTAGGGCTTTTGTAAGTAGCATAAAGTCGTAGACATTTAGAGTTGAAGAGACCTCAGAGATTTTCACCCATAAGTCTTTCATTTATGTAGATGAGGAACTGAACTCACAGAGGAAAACTGAATTACCTATGGTTATATCGTTAATGACAGGAGAGAATTCAAATATTCTGATTACTCAGTAACTCAGAGAGTGTAGTGGCCCTTTACCACACTTACGTGTGTGTGTGCAAAACCCAGAAGGTGAAAAAAATATTATCAATTAGTAACTTATAGTTCAGAAACTAAAATGGAAAATGTGTGCTATCAATGACAGTTTATAACGTCCAATTTCATGGTTATTGTTTAACTTTATAGAAACTTGATTTTTCCCAGGTAGGATGAATGTTGCCAACCATTCTCTAAATTTCCAAGAAGTTAATTAACTTGAATAAAGTGCAGAGCCCACTTTGCACACCATATTAACTGCCTTTAATTTCGCCCATGGTAGAATCATGGATGCAGTATTTAAAACAGTTGATCTTTTCAGCTTCTCGAATGTTCTCAGGTTAAGTCCCCAACTAAACTAATACAATTAATCAATGTGTGATTTCCAGTTAAAACAAAAATAAGGGGTTCAGCTCAGATGAAATAATTTTTGGTAACAGGAGATCCTCCCAATCAGTAAGCTGGCAAATTGGTATAGAAAACCCAAATCCCATTTCTTTTAGTTCAAACTAGGATATCTTACTAACAAATATCTATCTAATGTGAAGTGTGATTTTTTTTTTTTTTTTTTTGGTGCGGGTGGGGGTCCCTTTTCTGTTTTTTTTCCCGTTGCAGAGCACAGGCTCCGGACGTGCAGGCTCAGCGGCCAGGGCTCACGGGCCCAGCCGCTCCACGGCATGTGGGATCTTCCCGGACCGGGGCCCGAACCCGCGTCCCCTGCATCGGCAGGCGGACTCTCAACCACTGCGCCACCAGGGAAGCCCGGTGAAGTGTGATATTTTTACATGGCTGTTTTGATGGCGCCACTTTCACTCAATATTTTGGAAGCTCTTTTATACATACAATTCTTACACAGCTAAAGAATTGCCTTAAAAAAAATACTAACTACAATGTGAAACCAACTACTACACTCTGTCCCGGAATCAGTTCCTTCCTAGGATCGTCAATTTATCCCCTAGTCGCAACCCATCAAATTAAATATTTAAAATGTTAATGGCACATTCCAGGTATTGTAGATGGAGCTACAATATGATGTCAGCTTTCATAAAGCTTGCATTCCTGTGAAGGAAGAATGACACAAAACAAGAAATTTTATTTGTGAAGAGAGGGAAGGGGCATGCTGGTTACTGTGCTGGAATGTTGAAAGGTGTCTGACATCCCTGAGCTTCGCCCCATCCCTGATCATTCATCCCTAAGCCTCAGAGATGGTGTAAAGCCGCCTTTGAGTACATTACTTGGTAACTTAAAAACCTGGACATCTCATGCTTTGGGAGATTGTAAATTCAGTCTGAATATGAAAACATGCCAGCATCTAAGCGGTCTCACCAAAATACCATGTAAATATTTTCCCCAATTTTCTCATTTTGAAGACCTCCAAAATAAAACACTTACGTTATAAATTTATTATAAAGAACAAAGGCATTTTCCAAGTTTCCTTCTTCCAAATACACGGACGCCATTCTCTCCATTTCTACTCCGGATCTAAAGTAGCGGCGCGGAGTGATATCTTCATTGATGGTGATATTACAACCCAGCTTGCTTAGGGCACGGACTCGCTCTTCCGGGCTGAGGGAAACATCCCTGTGGTCCGGCATGGCAGCTAACTTTTTCTGCAAAGTCGAATTTGAATCTCTGGTTATAAGAAGAAATGAACATGACTGAAATTATACATGTATTTTCTGTACTAAATACCTGACATCAATACCTAAGGAAAGTTTTTCATAAAAGTTAATGGTACGATAAAAATAATTCTTTTTGCTTAAACGTGTGGTCTACACACCAAAAAGATACACATCTCCAGGGTAAATACACTCTTTTGGACTAAGACCTCTTATAGGTTTCAGCTACAATTACGTGGCAGTTTCTGGGTATGCAAATGTTTTAGGTCACTTTAGGTAAAATATCATTGACCCTTATATCCTCATGGAAGCAAACCAAGAGATGGATTCCTACCAGGGTAGGGATCATGTCATTATACTTGAAGGGCCTCCAAGAGATGGCTTGGATTCGAAGTTGCTATCAGGATTCAATTCTATTCCAAAACACATCTGGTTTTATACGTAGCTTTCAGGGCCTCCCTTTATCTTTACCAAGTGAATAAAACCCCACCAATAATTCCAGGAAAAACCTTTTCAAGCATACGGCCATTCCCCCCACCCCTTTTTCAACATAAAGACACTCTCAGAGCTTGACATAATAGTAACTACACCATTAATTATTCCCTGACTGAGAAAATAATAATGATTACTAAAAAAAAGTCTGTGATATTAATATATTTGTATTTTATTAATAAAAACAACATCTATACACATCTGAAAAAACATGGAACATATACATTCAGGATAATTGTTCAATTCTTCAATAAAAAGTCAGTGCTTCTGAAAGGTGAAAAAGCCAAATTTTTTCTGTTAAAGGCCATATAGCAAGTTTCTTAGCCTCAGTGGGACATATAGTCTCCATGGCAGCTACTCAGCTCCGCTGGTGTGAAAGCAGCCATAACCCCACGTAAACAAATAATCCTGACTGTGTTCCAAAAATATTGTTATTTGACCACAGGTAAATGTTTCAATGACATCATAAAGTTACTGGAAAAAAAAAATCTATGGAAATTAGGACATTTTCTAAAGCAGACTTCTAGCCTCCTGTGTGCACAAAAGTAACTCGTCCGTTTTTTATTACTATACAGTCTACCCTGAATTATAATTATTTGTATACAAGTTTGTTTGTTTGTTTGTTTGTTTTACGGTACACGGGCCTCTCACTGTTGTGGCCTCTCCCGTTGTGGAGCACAGGCTCCAGATGCGCAGGCTCAGTGGCCATGGCTCACGGGCCCAGCCGCTCCGCAGCATGTGGGATCTTCCCAGACCGGGGCACAAACCCGTGTCCCCTGCATCGGCAGGCGGACTCTCAACCACTGCGCCACCAGGGAAGCCCTGTATACAAGTATTTTTGACTCCTTATGAACTCCATGAGGGAAAGGAATCATTTTACACTCATCTCTGTCCTCTGGAATGTAGTATATTCCCTGCAACACAGATGATAACCAATAAATGTATCAAATAAAGGAGGAAGAGAGACAGGGAGCAACATGATTATAATTAGATTATCTTTTTATCTGAAGGAAAAAAATAAGATTTATTTTCCCTTTATGGGAATGGTGCTGCCTTTCCTAAGTTTAAAATTGATTTCAGAGATAAACTGGGAAATAGCCTAAACTCTTCATCAATCTGTAGTGTTTCATTTGCATATGAACTTCTTAGATGTAAATAAATTTTCCAGAGGAAAAAGCCTTAGTGTTCATTTTTACATTGACATGTCCACTAAAATTTTAGTTATTCCTACATAATGTTCTAGAAAAACACACAAGGCACTCCATAAGGATGACTCCTTCCTCTGCAGAGGTGGAAATGGGTCAGCCTTTATTATCCCACAGTGCCTTGACAATATGGGGTCAGAAAGTGAAAAGTTCCTACAATTTTCTGCTCCTCAAACATACTCTCAAAAGCAACTGAGCATCTGTGAAGGATTTTTTCCTCAGAGAGAGAACACTAACCTATTTCAGAGCAAGAACCAGGCTCTATTTCTTTATGTTCTGGTGCTAAGCTTTGTGTGTGTAGGGTATTCAGTATACCGCTGCTCCCAGGGCTACAGGGGTAGTGAGTGGGTTTGGGAGGGTCATCAGGAGGAAGGGGAGGGTAATGACAGCTTTCGTTTAGCAAGTCCCAAGGACAGGCTGGCAACATTAAAACTACGGTTTCCAAAAGTTGTAAGGCACAAAGTACAAAAACAGGGCCATGGAGATTATATAACGTTCCTATATTCACATTCAGAGACTGATCTGGGACACACAATAAGCTCATGGGATCCCAAGGCCCCTGTTATTTCCTCTCCAGCACGTTATTTCTTCTAAGATGTAGCTCAAGAAGGTGTGTACTATGTTGGCTGTAAGGGGAAAAGATGAAAAGGATGAGAGTTTCAAGTATTCACACATTTACACAAAGATCCCAGAGCAGCATCTAGGTGTTAAATAGAAAGTTATTTCCTCGGTCATTACCACACGAGGTAAGCCTCTAATTTTTATCTGGGAAGAAGCTGAGGCACAAAGAAGTTGAAGTACCTGCTACAATGTCATCTGTGAAATTCTTCTCCCCGGTGTTGTGCTAAAGGACTACACTCCTGGAATCGAACCAGATAAATTAACATTTCACACTTTCATGGAAAAAAAAGCATTATTTTTAATTCTAGCAAAGATGGGTTTATTAATCACTTCCTCAAAGGAGAGGACCACACAGATGGATGAAAATGGCAAATGCTCAACTTCTTGAATTGTGACTCATTTCACATTCAGTGTGTTTCTGTTCTTCTTTTTGGGTTTTCAGACCACATGTAAAATATTGGTTGGTGCCACCTACCAGGGAATTCACCGTTAACGGCTGATCCATGTTGTCCTGTCTACAAAACGATGGTGTTTATTGTTTCTTCTCAATCACTTCATCTGTTTCAAAGACAAAAAGCAGAGCTAAGGTTATTTCTTGAGAACTCAAGTCTCAAATCCCAAATGCCAGGCTTATTTCTGCCTCAGAAAATATATGAACAAATTGAAAGAACTTATATTATCTGAGACGACTGGAAATCTCTTCCTGAAAATACAAAACTGCAGATGGTTATAAGGTTTCTTGAAGCAGACTTTTAAAACAGGAAGTGTGAAGAGAATTAGTTATTGCCTAGTACCCAGTATGAATCTGCTGGGTGTTATCTTACTTAGAATACTATGCAAGGTTATAAAGTGGATTTACTTGCTTCGAAAGGAGAAAGAAGGTCATTGTGATTGAGAGCATGGACTCAGACCTGGAGCCCATCTGGGCTTAAACTAAGTCTTACTGGCTGTGGTAGGTAGAATTCTAAGAGAGTGCTGTGATTCCCGCCCCTTGGGATCCACAGGTTTGTGTAATCCCCTCCCCTTGAGTGTGGCCAAGACCTATAACTGGCTTCTCATCTCAGCAGAACATAGCAAAGGTGATGGGAGATTACTCCCATGTCTATTATATTCTGTCACATGGCAAAGACGAAGAGATTCTGCAGATATATTAAGGCCCCTAATCATTTGAGGTTCAATTAATCAGAAGGGAGATTATCCTGAGTGGGAGACCTCTCTTGCTGACCTGGAAGACTCAGCTACCCTGAGTTCCACAGCAGTAGGGAGATGAATTCTGCCAAGAATGACGTGCTCTTGGAAGAGGACTCCAAGCCTCAGATCAGATCCTTACCCTGGTCGACGCCTCCATTGCTGCCCTGTGAGACCCCGAGCAGCGGACCTAGTTGTGCTGTGCCTAGACTCCTGACCCACAAAACTGTGAGATAACAAATGTATGTTGTCTTAACACATGAAGCTTGGGGTGATTTGCAGTGCAGCAATAGAAAATGAATACTCTAGCTGGGTGACTGCAGGTAAATATCTAACCTTTCTGTGCACCTGAATAAAGGGGGAAAATAAGAGTACCTATGTCATGTCATTGTGGTAAGGATTAAATGACTTAGTACATAAAGTGCTTAGAACAGTTCCCAGCACATAGTCAATATCATATCAATGTCCACTATTACTAGAATCTTGATTTTGCAGTTGAGGAAACTGAGGCTCAGGGATGTTAAGTGAATGTACCCAAGTTCAAATAATCACTCGATAAATGTTAGTCTCCTTCCTTTGTATGCTAGTTTAGGTCGAGCTCTGCATGATCACTTCCCACTTCTAAATTTATGTCGGCTTTTATATTCCACTAATCACTTATGCGACGCTGAACACATATTTTCTCCTCAGTTCCTCATTCATGAAATGAGGGGGTTAAGCTACACTCTTTCAAGTTACAACATTCTGTGATTCTCAAAAACTTCAGAAGTAGATTATTCAATCCTTCCGTGCTATTTTCTGACCTGAATCCATGGCTGGAAAATCCTTCCAAGGAAAGTCACTTAGTGTGTTCTGATCTTTCCCCTTCATCCTCTCCAGTGATCCCTGGAGTACACATCAAGCTGTCGGCCTGCAGGTTGCAGAAATGCCCAAGAAAAGAAAGGACCTACAGAGAGCCCCAGTCACAGTGTAGTTTTAAAATCCAAATTAATCCTGGGACCACTGAATGTAGGCAATCCCTTTGGGGGAATTACCACTTCTTGGTGAGAATAAAACGGAAAAAAAAAAAGACGTTAAAAGAGTTAAGGAGACAGAACAAAGAGGCTTATGGAGAATTTGAGGCTGGGTGGGGAGAGAATAGGACAAGGAAATACTAGTTACTCATTGATTAGGGTCTCCTAAAAGCCAAGAATGAATTCTTTTAGGGGTTACTCAGATCCTTAAACAGAGCACAAATAATTTTAAAAGTTGGAAACATTAGCACAGCACTTTTAAAATCATATAACCCTGAGACTTGTTTAAAATGCAGATTCCTGGAACTCAAAAGGATTTTGGATCCCCTAGTTTTAAGCCCACCAATAGCATCGTTAGGATGTGGTGCAGATGATTTTGATACATGAGACTTCCAAACAACGCTTTGAGAGACACTGCATCTGAGAATGTATCAAGCAGGATTCTTAGTTGCAAGCAAAGGCACCGACTCTTGAATCGACAGAATGATAATGGAAAGGTCACAAATTTCCAAGAAGGCCAGAGAAATTGGGCCTGGAGGCTACATACCCAGCAACATGACCCCAAATCACACAGCAGCACTGGTCTGCTGCCTGTCACTGATGGGCGGGGGAGCCAGCGGCTTCCATCACCGACACCAGCTGCTGTCTGGGAAACCACCTGTGGAGATGCCACATATTTTTTCATGTCACTAGTTTCTATTTCAAAATATGAGATGGAGGTGCCTGACTGGCAGAACCTAGGTCACACGCCTGCAGCCAGGTTGCAAAGGCGGTTAAAAACGCAAATATCTAGCACTTCACACTTCCATAGGAGGCAAAGTGGGATGTGCCAGGTGAGGAAAGGTAGATTCAGGGCTGGGCGGCCAAAAACAACGGTAAGTGCACAGAAAAATCAAACTTTTCCGCAATTAGCTTCTAGACATATAAAATGCTTAATTCAATATATCTTGAACACCAGAATTTATTAAATTCCTATAGATGAAAACCAATAGTTAAATCTCTCTTTAACTCTATTAACTCCCACACACAAATTTATTTATAATTCAGAAACAGAAACCAACTCCCCTCAAATCTAATAAGAAAGAAGTTTATACATTGGTCAGTTAACTGCTTCTTTTTGGACCATTAACTACTCAGTGGCAGTGGTCCTGCCTTAATTCCTTTATTTTTCAATCTGCAGTCCTAGCACTTATCCCCTGCAATATAACAATTACCAATGTCAGCATAAACAGGTTATGTTCTCAAGACCAGTAGATGTCAAAGTGTGATACAGCATCCCCAAGGGGTCTGCAAGGTCAATATTATTTTCGTAATATTACTAAAACATTATTTGCTTTTTTTTACCATTCATCTGTATAGTGGAGAGTTCCATAGGGTACAAGTTAATGGCTATGCTCACTTGTATCTTCTTGTAAATGTCTGCTACAATTTTTAATATGATAAATATAAATAGATATAACCCACAGAAACAAAGCTTTTTAGTGCCCTTAGTAATTTTTAAGAGTGTAAAGTGGTCTCATGACCAAAAAAATTAAAAACCCGCTGCTCTAGATCAACTACGCAAACAAACAAAACAAAACCTCGCCATGCTACTTCAATCTAACCAGAAATATAGTGGGCCATGAGAATCTAAAAGATGAAAAAATAATTGTCAAGTATCACCTTCCATTTGTACTACTAAGGTCTCACTAAAATAATTAGAAAACTGAGGGCACAATAAGAGATACCTTACCTCACAGAACCCAAGACCCACAAGAGCAAATGTGGCAGACTGCTATATAATCTGCAATACCCATTCTCTTTTTCTAATATAAAAATATATAAATTTTTAGTTGATACATAGCCTGGATGTCTCTATGCCTCAACTGCCCCCAAGAAAATGTGGAAGCAGCTCTATGATTCTGCCCTTTGAAACCAGCATCAAGTAATGCCAAGAACAATATCGAATCTGTTAACACAGTGTTTCTTTTGTGACCTTTTTAGCCTAAATTATTAATTCCCTTAATTTTCCTTCTCTTTCTTTTTTTTTCTTAAATACTTTTTTTTGGGGGGCGGGGGGGCAGGGGTGCTAAGCTCAGAATCCTGACTTACTTGCATACACAGAGCCAGATTTTCCAGAATACAAAAGACTAACCAGGCAGGAAAGAGTCTCCTGAGAGACTGGGCACACAGGACAGCCAGTGAGACCATCACCCACACGTGTCGTTTTCTCACTGGTACTCCTTTCAGGTTGAGTGCTGTAGGGAACTGGATAAGCAGGGGCGGCAGATGAGAGAGGCCAGAACACCTCATGCCACACGCTGTAGTCTCATTTCTAATTGGCCAAAAGCAGCCTTTCTTCTCCCCACTGGGTTAGAGTTCAGGTTTTCCTGGAAGAACATGGTGCAATTTACTTAGTTGGAGATAAAGCAAATGATCATAACCTAGACTGTGGGCTGCAGTGACCTAATCTGATTTAGATAAAAGGAGGTTAAAGGGTCACTCCCACGCTTTAAATGACAGAGGCAGGGGGCTTCCCTGGTGGCGCAGTGGTTGAGAGTCTGCCTGCCAATGCAGGGGACACGGGTTCGAGCCCTGGTCTGGGAAGATCCCACATGCCGCGGAGCGACTAGGCCCGTGAGCCACAACTGCTGAGCCTGCGCATCTGGAGCCTGTGCTCTGCAACAAGAGAGGCCGCACACCGCAATGAAGAGTGGCCTCCGCTCGCCGCAACTACAGAAAGCCCTCACACAGAAACAAAGACCCAACACAGCCATAAATAATAAATAAATAAATAAATAAATAAATAAAATTAAATGACAGAGGCAGAAAGGAGTATCTCCTGAGTCACAGGAGGCTTACAGATTGGGACCTGCTTCAGGAAAAAAAAAATGACCTAAGCCCATCCTTGCTTGTCATTTGGAAGGATTCAGATGTTAAAACCAAAGATTATTTTTTATACTCAAGAGATTATTTTTATACAATATTTGTAAATCAGAAATTATCATCTGCTGTGACCCAGATGATAACATTATTTGTACTAAAATATTGATAAATATGAAACTTGATCCGAATATTAGAAATAGCTTTTATTGTCTTTTTTATATACTTGTAAGTACTACATGTGAGTACCTGCTAGGTATCAGGCATTTGTCTCTTATTCCTAGAAGGATATCCCAAGTTAAACATACCTCAGCAGTGTGGTTAAGATTAGATCAAGCAGCAAGAATGCAGTTGCTACAGGAAAGATTATTAAGTAAAACACCATGCCCAATATAGGTTTTGTATTTGTTGTTTTTTTTTTTTGCGATACGTGGGCCTCTCACTGTTGTGGCCTCTCCCGTTGTGGAGCACAGGCTCCGGACGCGCAGGCTCAGC